TGCATATTAAAGTATTCGATTAAAGCTGAACAAAATGAATAAAAGGTTTTCGAAAAACAAATGAATGAGTCAACAAATTTGAATTTGGAATTTCTAACCATAGAGGTCTTATTTGAGTTCAAAGTGGCCAGTACGATAAAACGCATATTTCATACATATATCCCAATAATTATTATTTCAATTTAATTGTTCGACTCAAGACTCAAGAATCTATCTAGCCAGTTGTGGTAGTGACATAAGTTAAATGTTAATTCTATGCAAATAATGATTGCCATCTGATAGTACAATAACAAATGACATGTTTTAAAACAATCACGCAATTCTATTTCTATAGTATATCACTTGTGTGGATGCAGAATGCTTTAAATAAAGTATTTATTGTTTGTTTTTATTGAGTATTGTGCATGAACCTAAATAAACGGAAAAGTAATACCTTTATTTTACTATTTGAATAATACTTTTTTTTTCTTGAACTCTTTGTTAATTGTAAATAATTAATTTAATAAATGAAACTGAATTTATAAAACTATGAAGTTTTAGCCAATATTTTAAATATCATAACTTTTTATTGTAATAAAAATATTATTATAAAATAACAATAACAAAATCGTTTAAAAGTTTTTATTCATTATTTCCTTTAATATTGAATAGTTCGTAATTTATTCGCAAAAACCAGATTGTATTATTTGTTCTTTTTATCATGATATCTCAAAATTAAAAAGACAAACTTTATACCTCGACCTTGTATGTCACGGTAAGTCATATAAAATTTGCATAACACATAATTTTTTTTTTGGTTTCAATATAATAAAATTATATGGAACAGAATATAAAATCGTAAAATATTAACAAATCTGGTCACAAAATTATCTAAATTAAGAAAAAAAAAATATTAAAATTACAAAATTATATATAATTAGTTTATCGATTTGTGTCAGCAAAGTATTTTAGGCACAAGGCTGTTTTGATAACTATCCGGAAACAGATGACGCTTGATTATAAATAAATCATATTAAAAATATAAAATTATTAAACTAATGACGACTTCCGGTTGTAGGACGTCATTTGATTGAAGTGATCTATCAATTTAATTTGTCTAAAATTATCTTTATTTTTGTATATATTTATTTTCATAGAAGATTTTACTATTTATGAGCATAAATATCGTGATCGGGAATCGAAGTGGTTATACGACAAAAAATACTCTGAGCAGTATTTGAATTTTTGGACGTATCTTAGATATTATACTTTTATTATTATGGCTTAATTCGCACTGGAATCATGGAATATTTTACAAATATCAACGATAGAAAAAACGAAAAAGATTTGTCGAATGGAATAAACAAATTTATTTAATTACTATTATTATCAACATTATTTCTTAAAGAATCATCTAGATTGTTCTTAATTAGTTAGCAGTTCTAAATTCAAAATAATTCTCATTATAAAAGATGTCATCGTCACACTTTTCGATTTCGTGATCCGCCATATTTGATTACGTCACACGACCTAACTTATTAATAATTTCATAACAGCTTAGTAAATTTTTATTTATGTTTTCGTGGACATACTATGTTAATATTTGTATATTATATATGGTAATAATGTTACGATATTGTATGACGTAAGATAGTTATTAAGTTATTGTGAAGATTTACGTTTGATTTATGATTTGTGTAGATTTCATAGATTATGGAAGAAACTTTTTGTGGTTATATAGTGTGAAATATATTGCAAATATGTTAAAGCATTTGTTTTTAAATAATTATAATATAAGAGATTTTTCATACGTCCTTTTAATATTGAACTAATTTTTGGCGGGGGCTTCTGTGCTGATGTTGAAATAATATTTGGCGGGAAAATTAATAATGTGTCACGTGACTTCATACATTACTACTAATATACAATGATACCGTTGTTAATTAGTGAAATTGTATGGCAGATTACAGCTCTTCTTATTATCTTAAGCATCTTGATGTTTAAGCTGTCCTTAAAGAAAGTTTCACTAAAATCGGCTAAGCAGTTATTCCTAGAAAGTCTACCAAACATCAATACATACATACAAACGTTTGGATATATAAAATTACTAGTATTGTCTCACTTTAAACTTGTGTATAACTATTATATGTATAATTTTCTTCTGCATTTAAAAATATCTTGAGATTAATCTCAACCAAAATTAATCTCCTACCTTACGTATAAAATCACTTCAAATAATTTTTTTTTCATACGTTCTGTTCTGATATTGACACAGCTTAAATCGTTCTGACACTGACCCTAATATAACTCGAAGTTTTAATTACATTTAATTATTATTATTATTAATACGATTAACGAAATGTCAAGATTATTTTGATACTAAATAACAATAATATATAATTTATTTGACTGGCAACATTTTTTTATCTGTCAAAGTTTTATTGAGAAAAAGAAAATCGTTGCACGCAATTTAATATTATACTTATTAGTCATTATAGATATATATAAAATTAAGTGCCCGTTCGTGTTTTCTCCAAACAGAACTCAAGATTATAATTAGTTTATCAAATAAAAATATTGATATTGGCATAATATTCAACGATGCTAGTACGAATGAAGCCATAGTTTAAAAAAAATTAGTTCCTTGACTGGTAGTACAAGTTTATCTTGTCAGATAAAACGAATACAGTTTCCTATCTACTATCAAAAAAATGCCCAGTATTAAATAACCAATTATATTAATTACCATGTCATTTTGATTCTTGCGCCGAAGCGTTTTGTAATGTATCAAAAAATATTTGCCATTATTATATTTTGTATACATTTTTTCAAATAATCTAGTTTAGTTATACTTCAACTTTTCCACAAGTATTTTCTCGTTTAAACTATCGCAATCTTAACTAAAGTTAATCTTACGGCAAATATTTGTTAATATTTACATTACTGAAGCTATTTCCATCAAGAAAATATTTTACATAACACCAAATAATGTGTCTCATTTATAATATAAAATTCTTCCATAACTATTCTAATTAATATAAGATTTAAAATAATTTTCTTCTCAATTCTTGAATAATTAAGAAGCGAATTGTCTTTATTTTCTAGTTTTTTAATTTTCGGAACATTTAATGGATTAAAAATGCCGGTAAACTTATTTTGAGAAACGACAAAAGAAATCCTTTAAAAAAAATGCACTAAAATATTTATGTATGTATTATTTTAATCTTAGATTATATGTGTACGGGTGTGTCTGTGTGTGTGTATATATGTGTGTGTGTGTGTGTATTGATTAATAAACAACAGCTAATTAAACACGCTAAACATTTTCATTATTTGTTTCCACGTAACATTTCAATGCTCTCACGTCCGGCGTACAGCTACAAGCTGTTGCTCTGTTTTGATTTACTACTCGGAAATTTTAAATTACATGTTAAAATACCGTTATTATAGAAAATTGTTAGATTTGACATCCTTATACTAATATTCATTGGGAGATTACAACTCTTAAGATTTCTTTCAAGTTATAAGATAGGCTTTTGGAGTTTCAATCTTTACTTCGTGTTCTCAGTAGTACAAACTATTAATTTACTAAGAAAGTATGAAGTATATGTACTAATGATGATTTTTTTATAACATTTGGTTCAGTAACCTTCATTGATGGTGGTTGGTACCTGACAAACTGTCGCAAGACTTGCGTTCACCGACCGACAATTGCAACATTACTTCGAGCCGACATACGCTTCGAGATAATCCCACTAACGTTTGAAAATAACTCGAAATACCTATCACTACTTAGTATAACGGCTTTTTTCTCATAATAGAAAATATTAGTGCAATGGAACTGGTAATATTATCAAATTACTACGCGTTTTTTCATGATATTTTAATGTGCAAACTCCCGGCTTTGATAACGTAAAATAATAAATCCGAAAATATTAATTTCATTTAAATAAATAGTCTCGAAAATCTGATAATAATTTTTGTATATATAGGACTAGCTTTCCGTCCGCAGCTTCGCCCGGTTCGGTTATATCGCGTTTCCAAGAGAACCTTTCAAAAGTCTGGGATAAAAACTATCCTATGTTCTTTCTCAAGGTCAACTCTATGTCTGTACCAAATGTCATTAAAATCAGTTCAGTGGTTTAGGCGTGAAAGCGTAACAAACATACAGACAGAGTTACTTTCGCATTTATAATATTAGTTGGGATTACTTAAATTTCTACAATCAACTTCATTACGACATGAGTTATGATGGATGTGTTTTACTTCAAGGAATGACATTCAATACTACAGATTATAAATAATATGAGCACAGATTATATTAGTAATATAAGCACAGATTATAAATATTATAAGCACAGATTATATTAATATATTATGTAACATGTGATATAATATAAACGGTTCATCACACATACCTAGGCGGTAGATAGTCTTCCTTAAACCAACCAGACCGTGACCTATAGTATTTCCGGACACGTTTTTATTTTTATCTAAACAACACGTAATTATGCGGTATAACTTAGATTAGACATCGGTAAAATAGATAGATTTACTTTATAAGCCTGTATTGTGGCGTTATATTGTTGAAATTATCGTATTCAGTTCTTTATTTAAAATTTTACAGTTACCATTTTTAATATTTTTCAAATGTTTCTACAATTAAATCTAATGCATTTATAAATCTTTTATTTAAATTTCATTCATATTTAAACATAACTTTTTCATTGTAACTTCATGCTGTTGATAAATAGAGGTAGGCGTTTTTAATAAATTTTACCACTAAATAGGAAAAAGAATATGAGGTAGAACAATAGTAATGTCGCTGAGAAGATAGTTTTATTATATCTTGTTGTATACTAATTTAGAAATAAAATATATACCATATTAATATATACTTTAAAACATAAATTAATAAAAATTTCTCTCTTTCAGATAATTTCGAGACCAAAGCAAATTTTGATGGGCCAAGCCAAAGAAGCGCATTCCATAGCAAATAGATAGCAAGAATATAAAAAAAAATGGCGTCTGACAGAGAATCCACAGAGTATATGAACGGTATAAGACCCGGGCCGTTAACAAGAGAAATACCAGAATGTATGAGGGATAAATATACGATAATACAAACTATTTTGGACGTGCTAGCTTTCCTAATGTTAGCTATTGGTCATGTCATACAAGCTATATACAGATCTATTAGGGGACATCCGAAGAAGGATCTCAAAGGTTGTATAGCTCTTGTGACGGGAGGAGGGGGAGGTTTGGGAAGCCTCGTCGCTTTGAGGCTAGCCAGGCTTGGATGCGTTGTGGTTCTATGGGATATTAATAGACAAGGTATGTATTTTTAATGATATTTCGTAAAAATTTTCTTGTTATTTTGAATTTTGTTACAATCGGAGGATAAAATGGTATTCCAATTCTAACTCAATACAAAACCAACGCAAAGATTTCATATATTAAATTCATAATACTAACTAGCTTTCCGCCCGCAGCTTCGCCCGCGTTGAGTTCGATTATATCGCGTTTCCAAGTGAACCTTTCAAAAGTCTGGGATAAAAACTATCCTATGTTCTTTCCCAAGGTCAACTCTATCTCTGTACCAAATTTCATTAAAATCAGTTCAGTGGTTTAGTCGTGAAAGCGTAACAGACAGAAAGACAAACAGTTACTTTCGCATTTATAATATTAGTAGGGATTATATTTACAAACGTTCTAGCAACTTGCTACTTTTTTCTATATAACTATTAAGTCTTATTGTATATTATATGTATAAAGGATATTATTTTTCTAAAATAAGTCTAGTAAACCATTACCTTGACTCGCAAACGGTGTCACAGTTAATGTGTAAATACAATTACAGTCGATACAAAACAAACATCTCACTTCAGTTTAATAACGGTGTATTAAGTTTGACGCGTGTTTAAAATATTATTTAAATTTGAATTATTTTTTTTTTTGGCTGAAGGCATCGGTTTATATGTATTCAGCTTCCTTTAAATTGTATCATAATTTTTTTTTTTTTTAAACAAATCCCTACTAATATTATAAATGCGAAAGTAACTTAGTCTGTCTGTCTGTTACGCTTTCACGCCTAAACTACTGAACTGATTTTAATGAAATTCACTACAGACATAGAGTTGACCTTGAGAAAGAACATAGGATAGTTTTTATCCCAGACTTTTGAAAGGTTCTCTTGGAAACGCGATATAACCGAACTCCACGAGGGCGAAGCTGCGGGCGGAAAGCTAGTTACATATAAAATATAGGAATTATACAGTATATTTGTTATATTTTTGGATGTATCTCAAATATTACGGTAGCTATGTAGTGAAATACATAAATATTCTGTTTCAAAACTTGCACAACACACGATGTCTACCGTGAAAATTGTGAATACGTTACGCGTTACTCAACGCTATTGTTAAATGTCGCAAGTTTTAGCTTATTAGACCTTCGTGGTAAAATTTCATTGCGTTCAGGAAATATTTAAATATCAATATTAAAGTTGATTAAGATTTCTGAACGTAATAAAAACTTTATCTGAGAAATATTTTGTCTTTTTTTGAATATTCATCTACCAGGAACAAGTCAAACGAGTTTTGTGTGACAGTTTACCGGGGTTTTTGTCATGAGTTGAAATTTCATAAAAAGAATATATTAAAGACCAGGTTTTTTTAATTATATTTTTTATATAAAAAATCCTGTTTATGTTTGTAATTTTCCCACATATATTAAGGATATTTTTTATTTAGCTCAAATATATATGTCTGGTTTTCTCATATTACGAAATGTAGCTGATACATACATATGTACTATTTTATATATTTTTATTTCTGGTTTCCTTATATTACGATAACTTTTTAATGTGGAGTAAAAGTAATGATAATGATCTTGTATTTTTTTTTTGAACAGATCCTTCCTAAGTACCATAATTTTAAGTTTCTCAGAGGATAATATTTATGCTTTTATCTTGAGACGTGATAATGACATTTTTTTAATGAGAATGGTTTTTACTCTCTAATGAACGACTATTTCAATTACATAATTTTTCTAGTCATAATAACTTCGGCAATGATTGTTTACTACTGTTTATAAGAATGTAATTTCGTATAAAATAAAAAAAGATATATTTCATAATTTATACAAAATGATTCATGTAAAACAAATTAAATATTGTTTTCTCTATTTTATAACATAAATTTTATTTCATAAAATACTTCACAATAACACGTTGAAGTAAAATATAGATCGTATAATACATCTTGCAGACTAGTATGAGAGTGTCTAATGTAGTAATTATCTGTGATGAAGCTGCAATAGGCTAGAGCTATTATTAACAGCTCTCATTTGTTTAATGCTTTCTAATTTCACTATTTTATAAAATAACGACGTCGAAGAAAATATTTTTTTTTGTCTAAATTCACAGATAAATATATCTTAATTTTAAATACAATTTTCAAATTGGAAATCTAAATGGAAAACAAAATATTTTCAATCAAAGTTTCCTTGATAAAACTACATAATATGTTAAACTTAAACAAAAAGTGCGTAATAATATAGTAATGTGTGTCTGTAAGTAATTATTGAAGAAGTTAATTATATAAAGAAAAGTATAATATACTGAAGAATTTAAAAACTTTTATCTGTAAAATTATTGATTTATTAATACTTAATTCGCTTGATATGTACATATCAAATACATATAAGTGATATTTGCACAAATAATTTACATACTAAATAAATACTAAAGAACGCATCCGAATTCTTGGAAATAGCTATTTTATTGTACAAACACTTTGTACACGAACAAAAGTTAGTGGCCTAGTGGTTAAAAAGGCCCGCCTCTCAAGTATGAGGGCGCGGGTTCGATCCTGGCAAGTACCAATGTGATTATTCCGAGTTGTATGTAGTTTATAAGAGTATTTAGACATTACTGATTAATGCATTCCTAAAGAGGGTTGATGTCAGGTAGGCGGCCGGTCGTAAAAACAATTAGCCAAAACTATTCATAACAGGTAAGGCAGAGGGTCTGCCTTACATGAGAATAGTTTTGGCTAAAGCTGGGAAATTGCCAGGTAGAAGAAGAAGAAGATATAAGTCTAGATGTTTTTTTATATATAATTATACTTATCAAACGGTCTCTACTCGTATTACTCAGGTAATTTACAAACCAGCTAAAGATTACCATAACGATGATATTTGTAAAATTGTAAAATCCGTCCTGGTATAAAAATATATATTTATTTAATTATTAGTTATATTAATATTATTTATTAGCTTTAAATATTATGAATAACAAGAAAAAAATAAAAACATCCATATTACTTATTTATGTATGACTATTTATTCAGAATATACAATTCAGACTTAAATTATATATTTTTTTTATTCAGTTTCAAATAACTTGGAACAAGGTTTCTACATATTTGGAATGTAAATTTTGAAAATTATTATTCCTTATATAAAAAAATTAAAAAAATTAAAGATTAAAAGTCATATATAATTAAAAAAATATACTAAATCTATCTATTCAACAACTTTAATGAATCGTACGATCCGTTTAAATTGTAATGTATCAACATTGATAGTTATTTTGATCAGTTATTTACAAGGTAAAGAAAAACATATTAATGAGGAAAAATTTTTATGACGTTTTCCACTTACAACGGCAGTCGGCACGTGTTTGATAACCGACAATTAAGATTCAAATATTAATTGGAATTGTATTGATTTAATCATTAAGGTTTATAGGCAAGAAATCAACTAATCGATATTTAATATTGTATAATCGATATTTAATATTAACAGATGGAATCGATTCATGTTTCTGATACATTGATATGTAAATGGCACGTTGAATGAACAGTACTATATTCATATATTGAAAGTGCTGCGTCAAAGTAATTTTTTAATAAGCACAAATTTTGTTTTTCATTATTAATGTATTTGTATAATATCCTACGCCTTGATCCGCGTTCGGAAATGGATTAATGAAGAAATTAATACATATGTGCTTAAATACATAGATATCGTATAGAAGCAATGTTTATAATGTTGCCACTTTATTTTATTTAACAGAAATTGTTACAATTTTTTGTATAATTTACAGCTTTTTTCTGATTTACTGTTTTTCTGATATATATTACTGTCAAGTTAAATCAAATCAAAATGTTTTTGCATGAAAAGTAACAAGTAGCCATTTCTATTAATGAAGAACTCAACGTATGTGACATAAAAAATATTAAAGCTTTAGAACTGAATAGAAGTCAATAGAAAAATGTTTATACGAGCCGATATCACTGTCATATAAGAAAAACTATGAAATAGCTACAAAAGTTTTATTACTATGATAAATAAGAATGTTGGAATCTCAAGTCCTCTTTTCAGTCCCCATACCTTACAAAACAACATATATATACCCATAGGCTATCATAAAGTCGTTAAATTTTCATCCCAGAATTTACAAACATTACTAAGTTAAATCTGTCGTAAGTCGTATAAAAATATAGATATTTGAAGCTTCGTAAGCGATTTATTGAATATAAATTTTGTCCTTAATAACCAAAAATATATAACGTAACATATATGTGTATGATGAAAAGACATACTATTTTAACCGACCACAATCACGAGCAAGGGTCAAGGAGAACAGGTTAACAGTAATCTTAATAAATACAAAGCATTAATTATATGTCTAATCTGAATATTAAGTTATTCACTTATAAGGCTTTTATGTCAACTTGACATTTATTATTAAATGTTATTTTTTATATCTATGTCGTTTTAATTGGTTAATCTGTTTGGAAATCAACGCCATTTCTGTGAATGAATTAACTCGTAAATAAAAATAAACATGAGAATCTTACCAAATTTATAGAATAATATTAATTTATACATACATTGGTATATATTTAGAACATAACGATAAATCTCTTAAAAATGTCATAGAACTAGATGAAGATCAAAAAGTTTTATTTATTTAGAAGTTTTAGAAGTTTTATTTATAACTAGCTTTCCGCCTGCAGCTTCGCCCGCGTGGAGTTCGGTTATATCGCGTTTCCAAGAGAACCTTTCAAAAGTCTGGGTTAAAAACTATCCTATGTTCTTTCTCAAGGTCAACTCTATATCTGTGCCAAATTTCATTAAAAACAGTTCAGTAGTTTAGGCATGAAAGCGTAACAGACAGACAGAGTTACTTTCGCATTTATAATATTAGTAGGGATTGATCTTATTTTTTAAGTATAATTACATATATGTATTTTGACCTACATAAAATTATATATGTAATTGTCAAAATATGTATTCATAAAACATAGATTTTGTGTTCTAACATT